CCAAACATCAAAGTCTCAAAATCAAGTGCCTGAAACCATGTACGAACGTGGTTTGGCAGGCATTGATGCCAGTGTGTTTTGTTTTGGTGCCAGAGTTGTAAGAAAGCTTAACTGATTCTTGTTTCTTGTCAAAAGAGATCTCTTTGTGAAATTAATTATACTCCCTCCGTCCCATACTTAACTCCGGTTTTGACCGGGCACGGGTTTTAAGATAGTGGGATTTGTGTGGTGGAGAGTTATGCAGAGGAGAGAGAAATGTGTAGGAATGACTGTGAACCACATATTCTTTACCAAAAAAGGAAAAAGGAGATAAATTTGGGACGGACCGAAAAGGAAAGAATAAAGATAATTCCGGAACGGAGGGAGTATTTAACGAGCTTAAGTGGAGCACTGAGCTATAGGAGTATTAATGAAGGAAAGTCTTTCTATTATTGCATGTTTTACACTTAAACATCCGGCCGAAGGGTTCAACGTAAGGTCTAATAATAATATACAACCTAGAATCTTCGGCCAGACAGCTACTCCCCTATAAATAGCAGTAAACGGAGTACGACCTACAAAAAAAGAAAGAGCGAGCGAGAAAAATACTAACAGAGAGAGTGGGAGGGGAAATATAGAAAGAGTGGAGCCGGTGCCATCTCTTAGCACCATCTCCGTCGAAGGAAGGGCCCGCCGGAGCAGCACCCTTTTCGCCTCAAACAAAGAAACTGCCAACGCCGGAGGAAAACAAGCAGTAGCGAGGCTAGTTGAAGAAAAGGGAAGAAGCCGGAGTTATCGTCGTCGGAGCAAACCGCTGCCGCTGAGCATCGCCATCTGCGTCTGGACCTTGCCGCCGACAACCTACCACGTTGGGTTATCTCCTCCGGGCAGCGTAAGTCATATCTTCGCCGCATTTTCAGATTTCCGGTGAGGAATGAGATACGTAGTACGCATAGCTGGACTGATAAAAAAAATATATATGGGCTGGTTATTTTGAACCGTACTAGGCATTCCGTAATATAAAAAAAAAGAGAGAAATCTCTGGCTACACTTATCAATTGGTAAAAACAAGACTTATGATGTTATGGAATAAAAATAATAGGCCGACCCTTTGAATGTTAAACTAGATTGGAATTGTTATAACTGTAATGATAATAAAACCAATCAATAATAATAATAATAATAATAATAATAATAATAATAATAACAACAACAACAACAACAACAACAATAATAATAATAATAATAATAATAATAATAATACTGATATTGGTTAGTCAAACAGAATAATACGGATGAGTTGTTCACTTCGTCACTTTTAGTTTGCCGGTGTAATCAAGTAGAAATTTATTTTTATTGTTACACTTATACTACATATTTGTTAAAATAATTTGTTCTTTAATAATGGGAATTATAAACCGATTGGAACAATTTTATTGAATTAGCTAATGAGGAATTAGTAAAGCAGACCCGAAAGATAAAACTAAAATTTTAAAGAAAGGACCGATTAGACTAAAGTATAAAATTTGACTACATTTAGTTAAAGCTTGAATTGCCTGGATTGATTGAATTATTAGGATAAGATGATTTCATTTGTAGACATTTTATGTGAATGCGAATAATTGTAAGACTACCGTAATATAAACCGAATTATATAATTGACATACGATAAAGGTATAAGGTAAAACACTCATTTTTGTTTGAATAAATAAAATTATCAAACAATATAACTAAATCATATTAAACCCATGACTTTTTTTACGTTAATGACAAATTGAAAAAAAGCAATAGAAAGAATAAGATTAAAATAATTGAATGAACATCATAGTGATTAAATTGATTAAACTAATCACGAAGTTGATATCAACTACTCATATTCAACAAATACGAAAATATAGGAATAACGAATAAAGGGGCTTGGATTACAACTTGGGTAGTGATTGATATTGGATCTTTCTTTAATAGAAGGTGATTTGGGTGAAAGCACGTAGTTGGAGGATTACCTATAACATACTTGGAGTTGAGGTAAGTTCCATGTCAACCAAGATCTTATTTTACCTCATAAAGCTATATGTATGATTTGATGTGAAAATATTTGCTATTGAATGAAATTTGGTGATGTATGAATTTAAATACGAAGTTGGTCATGAGAAGTTTTAGAATAAGAAGGATTTTTAGAATTGTCTTTATTGAATTTTTTTTTTGGAAAAGGAAGATCGAAACTATTTTTTTTTTTTTGTAATTGTGGACATCACGGGAGAAATCCGTGGTGTCGGTCTCCTTGATGACCGTTAATTGTGAGGGGTGGTTAGGGGCTACTACTGCTTTTTGGTGGATTTGATATTATGTGGATTATTTGATTATTGATTATTGTCCGGTAGACATCCCGGCATCTTTGAGGACTTTAAAAGTCCTTTGGTGGTCACAGTAGCTAGTTCCTAATCACTTAATTGGGAGTATATCCTTTCCTGAAGTAGCGAGTACGTACTACTGGGCTACTTGGGCGACTTACTACTCAGAGGGCTTGGAATCCCTTTAGGGGGTGTGCACACTTAAGGTAGTCGTTCAGTTTCCAATAGGTGGTCGGTGGGAGCCGGAATTCCGGGATGAGTCGTAAATAACGACGACTCATTGGGCTCGAGGAATCTTGAGTTTCGCTCACTTCTTAAAAGATACCTTAGCATTTTTTTTAAAACAAGTGAATGATTTCTACTGAAAGGCACACTATTCTCCAATTAGAAGTAAATGATATTTTCCAAAGTATTTTCCTCAAACTATATTATTTTACGGGGTTGGGTGGGGCTTACTTAGCATAAGCTAATTTTTGTCTTGTTTTTCTTCTTTTCCTTTTCTACAATTACAGATGACATTGCTGTGGATGATGTGCATGATTAGAGACTTGGGAGCGCCCATTAGAAGATACTATAGCAAGACTTACGCTATGAATTTATTTTTAAGAATATTCTTTAGACCACCTTTGTTACCCTTACTTCACACTCGTTAATTTTTACTAAGTACTTTGTTTTGTTTGCCTGTGCACTTAGCCCAAATAAGGCTTGGATGGTGTTGTATAGGACACTTTTTTAAAGGTCACACCGCTGAACATATTTATATTTTGATTGAGCGTATTTTAATTGAGTATAATTTAATTGATAAGGTGTTTGCTATTGGTTTTGATAATGCTACTAATAATACTGCTGTTATTCCTAGATTGCGTGAATTGTGTGGTGAGAAATATGTGGCTTTTCCTAAAGATTTGTCTATTCGTTGGAATAGTACCTATAAGTTAATTGGAGTTCTTCTTAGATATAAACAACATTTTCCTGCTTTTATGAAACAATATGATAACTATATTATAAACTCAGCTGAGATCGACACCTGTGGAAAAAATTGTAATGCTTTGATATATTTTAATAATGCAACTGAAACTTTTAGTCATGTTTATAAACCTACCTCAAACCAATTTATTCGTGAAGCTGTTAATCTCGCCGGTGCTTTTTCAAATTTTGAGAATGCTGATTATGTGAGTTATTTTGCTAGTTTTATGAAGGAAAAGTTTTTAAAATACTATTCACATATTCCGCATATTTATGGTATTGCATTTGTTCTCGATCCTCATTTTAGACTTGGTTCTTTAGAAGAATGTTTGAATTATTATTATGTTGCTTTTTTTGGTCCATTGCCAATGTATGAGGACAACCCAATTGATCCGAAAAAAGAATACAACGAGGTTAGTGATATATTTTATGCATTATTCAATCAGTTTCATGCACAATATGACAATGCGCTCCCTCCCCCGACACAAACATCATCTAAAGGAAAATCAATTTTCAAATCTACGTTTGCCAATCTTATGAAAAAAACGAAATCAACTCCCGCTACACAACAAAGCACAATTAATGAGATTTCTTTGTATTTAACTTATGATGTTGATTTTGAAGAAGATGATGATTTTGACGTACTAAACTGGTGGAAGGGAAAAGAAAGAATGTTCCCGGTTTTAGCAAAGATGGCTAAGCAAGTGCTATCAATGTCGGTTTCAACGGTTGCCGTGGAACAAGAATTTAGTTCGGCCGGCAATGTCCTAACACAAACCAGAACGAAGTTGAGCGTTGAATCTCTTGAGATGCTTATATGCTACCACGATTGGTTGAAAGCAGTCCGTAGAGCTCAAGAAATTGACATCACCCCATCCCAACACTTTATGGATGAATCTACAACCGAGGGTGGCTCTACCTATGCCGGAGATTCCGATTGAAATATTGAATGATTGATTAGTATTTCATGTTTTAAAAACAATTATAGTTCCTATTTAATTTTCAAATGTAGTTCCTATTTCATTTCAAATAAATGCACTTGAAGTTTGTTTTTTAATACATGTATAAAACTATAAAGTATAAAATATAAATTTCAAAAAAAATATTTAACCGACCCGGCCCGGCCCGGCGGGTGGCCCGACCCGTGACCCGGGCGGGTGGCCCGGCCCGAACTGGACCCGTCCAACCCTCGGGCCGGTCCCAGGCCCATATGATACGAACCGGCGGCCCGACTGGGCCCGACCCGGCCCGAATCCACCCCTAATCACGGACTAAATGTGGACAATCTGAAAGTAAAGGACTAAATGTGGAAGTGGTATAATAGTCACGGGACCAAAAGTGAAATTTTTTCAAATGTTTGTGGTACAATTTAAGTATCTTTCCATCCATGATTAGACATCCACTTAAATAAGTTGACCTATATAGCTTAATATTTTATGGAAAGAATCCTTGCTTAGCAAATTGGCCGTAACACACTTATATGTGTTAAATGAGTACTTTGCTATCCTTATAGAAGTTGACCGTAGCATACTTATATTTGTTAAATAAATATTTCCTTGCAAATAGTCATCCTTGGTTGAAATAATAAATGAATATTTTATGAAAAGAATCTTAGCATATGGGTATGGTCCGTTGCATGCTTAAAAATATGTTAGGTGAATAAATTATTTCTTCAATCTATGATGCTGATTATTCTTGAGCAATTATCTTTGATTTATGATCCACATATATATAAGTTCATTGCCTTCAAGAGTGAAATGTAACCTATATAGTCATATAGAGGAGAGAATGTATAAGAGCAACAGAATTTGGAATATTAACTTCACACTCACATTCATAATAACAATAGGCGGGGGACCTCATAGATGAGAACAAAATACTCAGAAAAACTACGCCAAGACTATTATATGGCTCATCCTTATGCACCAGACTCATCATTTACACGCCCCTCGTCAACTGCATCACCAAACGAGGCAGCAAGATACTCAGCAAGGCTTTGCTGAGGCTTTAACATAACCACTGGATCGTCTGAAACCCTAGCCTTTTTCGTACTGCTGATGGAATTCGGAAGCCATGATGAACCCTGGCTTGAATTTACTGCCATCTTCTTCCAAATGGTGGGCTGCAATTCCTCCCAAGGGTCTTCTATCATTGACTTGTTATAATATCGACATTCTCTACTACGGGCAGCAGCATTACTACCTTGCCATCTACCACCCTTGCATCCTCTTCCAGAATCTTGGTTTTGATATGGAACCCGTGCTGAATCAGGCCGGAGACTGCTCACTCTTCCTCGTCCATAACCAGGCCCACCTGGCCCATATCCATGGTTTGTAATGTTATTGAATCTAACGGGATTAGGTGAGAAGTTGCTACTAGGTGTGCCACCAGGGCTGCTAGCCCAAACATTTGGATTATTTTCTGGTGGTGGCGGGCCCCTATAGTGCATAGGGTGCCCCCCTAGAGGAGGACTGAAGGTGTGGTGGTGGTATGCTGGAACATATGGCCGCGATGGCCTTTGGTCTGGAACGTAGCTTCCTTGGGAACGATAACCCGAAACGTTTGAAAACGCTGGTCCTGCAAAACCAGCCAACTTATAAGCAACAGTTATCATGGCCCTAACATAACTTTATTTATTGTGAGATCATGGATAAATTTCATCAGAACCTGTCTAATAGGCACATAAACACGGCAGGGCTCACGTTTTGCGTCATAAAAAATTCAGATACTTCAAATTCTCTATCTATGTCGTAACCGTTTTTAAAAAATAGAAACCCCGTTTCTCTGATTAATTCGGGTCCATTGGGAATGCAGAAAATGCTAGGAAAGTACACGAGAAATTTGGAAGGAAAGAAAATGGTGTGGAAAATAAAACACTCTTTCAAAGTTTCAAACTCAATTAATTTACTTGATTATTTGTTCAAATTCATTTTTTTGCTATGATTCGAGTTCATTAATACGTAGTACTAAACAGTATCAACTAATCTAATAAATTTAATAAGGTCAATCGTTTTTTATTTTTCTTTGCATTGTGCATGATAAATCCAAAGATAAGAAAGTGAGGAACTCATATTTGCTATCAATTTCTTTCTTTTCTCTAGTATTCTTCGGGACCCAAACATAAGAAAGTAAGGAACTCATTTTTTTTGGAAATAAGTGTTCATTTGCTGGGATTTCTTGATGAATTTTTAATGAGATTTCAGTCTTGTGTCATTACATAACGCAATTCTTTTCTGGCTTGGTTTAAAAAAGCGTGGCTGAAACGTGCAAAGGTACGAGGCGCCGCTGGGAAATGGGTATATCGCAGACTAAAGACCCAGGCGGCCGGGCGTACAGGATACCTCGCCTTTTGCTTCTTTTTGCGTGTCTGAGAGGCATACACCCCTGGCGCCTCTGAAAAGGTGTCCGCTCATCTTTCTCGAAAGCCTTTTGGCGATTCACATATCTAGTTCCACAAGTGCATAGTATTATATGTTCAAGTCCACCAAAGTCTAAGTCTTCTCTCTAATATTCTGCCTACTGCCTCTCCTATGCTTCCGCTATCCTCCCCTCTTTCTTCCGCTCTTGTCTCGCATCGCAGGTGACTTTTAAATTTTTTGTTTCCTTTTACTCTTTCTTCTCTTTTTATCATAATTTTTTTAATTATCAAATAGTTTAAATTATTTATATTTAAATATATGAACATATAACAATCTGCCCTAAACCCTAACCTTAATCACATAGTTCATCAATTTCAAATTATAATAATAATAAAGATGGTTTGTACATTCAGATTGTTAAGATGTTTACTTTAGCAGTTTATAAAGGAGAACTAAAGAAAACACAAAATTACTTGGTGGTCTGAAGTCAGGCTGTGAGACAGCTTGAGGGATATGGTTGTTCCTCTTGTCTGAAGAGTAGGCCGCCATGGGATCAGTATAGTAGTCAAATCTTGGTCTCAAATTAGAAATCTCAGGTTGAGCAGTCTGATCTTCAACCAGTAGTGGGTTGGCTAAGCCATGGCCAGAGCTCACACCTGTAGAGTTCTCAGCTTCACCCTCGGTACAAGCGGCTTCCATTCGCATTGCCTTTAGCCTTTCCCTCCTCTTTTCTGACTCCTCCATTATTTATTTATGCAGATAATAAGAACAATATCACTCACTAATATGTTGCACAGATACAGGGTTGGTACCTATACAATAGAGAATAAAAGCAATAATGTCAAATTGTAAGTTATAAAACACATAATCAATTTGATTGCAGAACAAACCTAAAAAGTAAAAACATTACCAGACAATAAATACTGAGCAAAAATCGTCTATAAAAATAGTAAAAGTTTAGAAGATGATACATAATAAATGACGGGTAACTACACAACTACACACGACACAAAATGCAAATACAGTTCGTTTCAGAACTCAAAATTGGAATCTTGACCACAGATCAATGTTTATTAACCTTAAACTCCTAAAGAAATCTAATAAGTGTGTTCCGTATTTGCATGACAGAAACAAGACACAAATTCTCTTAGACTACTCCATAAGGCCGGAAGTTGAAGCAGCCAAGTATGAAGACGAAGAGGGTAAGCGATGAAATACCTGGATGTAGGGGCGGATCTAGCATTTCAATTGAGGGAGGGACAAAAAAGTTATAGTATTCGAATTCAGTGTGTGCATTGTAGTAGAGCTTCTAGTAGAGTTTATAAATATGTAAGTTTTAGTTGAAAATACTAACTTTAATATTAGCAGAACAGAGTCAGCTTTTCAAACAGTAGTACCTCATTAAACGGGAAGAAATTTTTTGGGTTGCATTTTAGGAAAATGTCAAGTTGTTTTAGGCATATTTTTTTTCAAGTTTTTCTAGGCATTAATAATCAATTCATAACTGGATGTGGCGTCGTCAAATACAAATTCCAAGTGAACTGTAATGCATGCAATTACAGAATTATTAAGCATAAAATGGAGCTCTGCGTTAGCTGCACTTGAGAAAGTTTGCTTTAGAAGAAAACCTCAAATTAGTACTATCTTACTACCTCAAGAGAATAGAGAAACTCAGAAAGTCATTACAAATCTCGGACGCTATACTCCAGAAAGCAGAAAACAAAGCTATACATAATCCAATTGTGATTAAAGCAGAAAGGGGGTGTTTGGAACTGATTCTGATTCTGCTTCTTTTTTAAAGCAGAAGCAGAATCAGAATCAGTTTTCAGAAGCTGGTCACCCCCAGCTTCTAAAAAAACTGATTCTAGAAGTAAATTAGAGCACCAGAATCACTTCTGCACTTTTACCCAAACACTCCAACTTTTGCTTCTGCTCCCTGAAGGAGCAGAAGCAGTTTTAAGAATCAAATCCAAACACCCCCTAAGTTGGGACTTGTGATTTGTGAAGTTCTTGTTAGGGTTAGGGCGCACTCACACACAACAACCTGAAAAACTAGAAGAGAACGAGAAGAACGACACAAATTTGACATGGTTCAGCCAAGTAGATGTTACTGACCTAATCCACGGGGGCAACTAGGGTTTTCTTTCTTATTGAGATGATGAATGATACAAGTCATAGTTTACAAGTACACGAGTCAATATATATAGGGTTCTGGGCCTGACTGCCACCAAAGAAACAGGCCCAACTAGGGCTGCCTGCACATTTAACTAGAGCAGGCTGCTGCTCTTTGTTTATTTAACTCCCAGATCTGAATGGGTCGAAACCTACAGCCCAACAATCTCCTCCCACTTGGAGGCTTCGAAACACGATCAACTGCACTCCACTCCTCTGTACTTCTGTAAACTTCATGTGTGTTTAGCTCCTCCCAGTTGCCACCTGCCTTCTCAACATTATTCTTGAAGGCCAGCTGAAGTTCTGTTCACAGATTTAGTGAACATATCTGCTGGATTCTTTGCACCTAAGATGTTCTTCAAGTTCATCGTTCCTCCACTGATCAACCCTCTGACAAAGTGATATCTCATCCAAATGTGCTTTGTTTTCCCATGATAGACTGGATTCTTGGCAAGTTTCACTGCACTCTCATAATCACAGTGTAACGCGTAATCTGCTTGCTTTTTGTCTAACTCATCAAGGAAGTTCCTTAACCAAACCAGCTCTTTACGGGCTTCAGCAACTGCCATGTACTCTGCTTCGGTTGTTGAAAGAGCTACACTTCTGAAGTTTGGACATCCAACTAACTGCAGTTCCTCTCCCACTGTGAAAATGTACCCCGTAGTGCTTTTAAATGTCTCTTTGCATCCACCCAAATCGGCATCAGAATACTCTCTCAAAATTATGTCTTTACCTCTGAAACATAACCCCATCTTTGTAGTACCCTTCAAATACATAAGTATCCATTTAACTGTTTCCCAATGTTCCCTCTCCTGTTTTGACATGAAGCGACTAACAACCCCGACTCCCTGACTGCATGAGCAATATCTGGTCTCGTGCACACCATAGCATACATGAGGCTACCAATTGCAGATGCAAAAGGAACTTTAGCCATTTCTGCTTTCTCTTCGTCTGTTCTCGGAGACTGGTCTTTGGTAAGCTTGAAGTAACTTCCCAAAGGCTTGTTTCTTGGTTTAGTCTTCTCACCATTCATTTGGAATTTCTCCAACACTTTCCCAATGTACTTCTCTTGGAATAGTGTTAAAGAACCATTATCCTTATTTTTGACTATGCTCATCCCTAGAATCTGTTTGGGTGGACCCAAATCTTTCGTTTCATATTCTTGAGACATTTGTTTCTTTAACCTGATGATCTCTTTCATATCTGCACCAGCTATCAACATATCATCTACATAGAGAAGCAGAATGATACTCCCTCCATTTCTGAAACAAGTTCCACTTTTCCTTTTCGGGCAGATTCAAAATTAAGTTCCACTTTAAAACATTTCCTTATTATCTATATCAAAACGGTGTCAAACAGTGTTCAAACAGTGCCAAACAGTGCTCAGTGCCAAACAGTGCACTCCACAGTAAAGTCAAATTTATTTTCTTAATATGTGTGAAGTCAAATGTGGAACTTGTTTAGGAATCGGAGGGAGTATATGAATTCTTGAACCTCTTCACGTAAAAGCAATTGTCCATCTCACATCTTCTGTAACCTGTCCTTATCATGAAGTTATCAAACTTCAGATACCACTGCCTCGGTGCTTGTTTTAGACCATATAAGCTCCGTTTTAGTTTGCAGACCAGATTTTCTTTACCAACAACCTGAAATCCTTCAGGTTGTGCCATGTAGATATTCTTATCAAGATCGCCATGTAGAAATGTTGTTTTAACATCTAGCTGCTCTAGATGTAAGCCCTCTGCAGTTACAATACTTAGAACCAATCTGATGGTGGTCGTTCTAACCACACGAGAAAAATCTCATTATAATTCACTCCCTTTTTCTGCTGAAAACCTTTGACCACTAAACGGGCTTTGTACCATTTTGACCCATCAGGTTCATCCTTGATTCTGAATACCCATTTATTTTGAAGTGCCTTCTTACCTGGCGGAAGCTTAGGAAGAACCCATGCCTTGTTCTTGTGTAAGGCATCCATTTCTTCTTTCATAGCATGCTCCCACTGAAACGAATCATTCTGCTTTACTGCTTAAAAGTAACTTTCTGGTTCTCCATTTTCAATCAAAAGGAGATAATTGACTTTAGTACTGAATCTTTCTGGAGGTTTAGTGACTAGTGGATCTTCTGACCCACTGTGTTTCAACTGGTTGCGGCTGCACGGGTGAAGGTGCTCCTTCATCTTCTGAATTTTCACTATCAATAGTCTTCGTGATCATCCTCAGGCTCGTCAGTACTGGAATCATTCTCCATGCTCTCATTGCCTTGAGTATCTTCAGACTCTCTGTTTCTGTCTTTCTGATGACATCATTTTCAAACTCAACCCGCTCATTCTGAATCTTTGAGTTTTTTGTGCTTCTGTCTTTATAAAGTTCAGCCTCATTGAATGTAACATGTTTACTTCTGACTACCTTTCTACTTTCAGTGTCCCAAAGTCGATAACCCATGCTGTCTCCCCTGTATCCAATGAAAGTGTATTTCTTGGCTTTAGCATCTAACTTGTCACCATCTTTGATAAGATCATAAGTGTTGCATCCAAATACCTTTAAATGCCCATACTTTACCGCTTCTCCTTTCCACTCTTCCTCTGAATCTTGAAACCCAATGGTACTGATGGCCCCCGGTTGATAAGATAAGCGACAGTGTTCACTGCATCAGCCCAGAACGTCTTTGGAAGCCCAGCATTAAGTCTCATGCTTCTGGCCTCTCATTCAAAGTTCTGTTCATCCTTTCTGTCAATACGTTCTGTTGAGGAGTGTCTGGAAACGTCTTTATCATTCGAATGTCATGTTCAGCACAGTAATCAATAAACTCTGTGTTAATGTATTCACCACTATTGTCCGATTTCAATCACTTTACCTTCACATTAGTTTCTAATTCAACAACAGTTTTCCACTTCTTAAAAATATTGAAAACTTCAAACTTATTTTTAAGAAAGTGGACCCATACCTTGCGTGTTGAGTTATAAATGAAGGTCACATAGTAGCTTGATCCTCCCAGGGAAGAGAGTGGTGTTGGACCAAACACATCCGTGTGAACTAGCTCCAGCTTATGAGTTTTCGGTGTCTGACCTGTCTTCACAAAAGAAACCTTCTTTTTCTTGCCAAGTACAGAAGGCTCACAAAACTCAGAATCCACCTTTTTCAAATCTGGAAGTTTACCCTTGCAACGAGCATCTTCATTCCCTTTTCACTCATGTGGCCTAGCCGTTGATGCCACAAACTGGATGGATTCAGCCCGCTGGTCACTGCATTGATCTCATCATCAGAAGCTTCAACCACATATAAAGTACCCCTCTTTTTGCCTCTGGCAATTACAAGATTCCCCTTGACAACTTTCCATTGTCCTTCACCAAAAGTAACATCAAATCCCTGATCATCCAACTGCCCGATAGAAATCAGCATCTTCTTAAGGCTTGGAATGACCCAAACGTCTTTCAATGTCCAAGTGGTGCTCAATGAAGTCTTTAAGTCTATGTCACCCATCCCTGTGATGTCAAGAGAGTCGTTATTAACCAAACGAACTCTACCAAAATTACCTGTCTGTAGATTCTTCATCGCCTTCGTGCTGAAAGTAGCATGAAATGATGCACCACAATCCATAATCCACGTTTCTGTTGAGTTTTCAACACAACAGATAAGGGCATCATCTGAATCATCAGTGGCTGCATTTACTTCCTTCCTTTCTGAAGATTTAGGGCATTGATTTCTGAAATGCCCAGTTTCTTTGCAGTTCCAGCATTGAATATCTTTTCTCGGTTTTGACTAGCTCCTCTTTCTAGACTTTGATCTGCCTTTGCCATCACCCTTCTCTTTCTTTCTACCTCTCCCTTCAGTGCTTAACAAAGCACTTAAAGATTCTCCAGAACTCCTCATTCTTATATCCTCTTCTAGGATAAAGTCACGAATGCCCTCAAATGTGAGTTTAGAGGTTCCAGCTGAACCGCTAATGGAAGTGATTGTTCCTGACCAACTTTCTGGTAATGAGGATAATAAGAGCAAAGCTTGAACTTCATCTTCAAACAAAATATCAACATATAGTAAACGGGATATGATAGTATTAAACTCATTAATGTGTGAGGTAACAGATGCACCTTTTGTCATTCTGGTGTTTACTAGAAATACCTTGTTTGATGCCGATGGTTTCTCATACATGTTTGACAAAGCCTTTATCAAATTTGTCATTCTGGTGTTTACTAGAAATACCTTGTTTGATGCCGATGGTTTCTCATACATGTTTGACAAAGCCTTTATCAAACCACATGCAGTAGTCTCCTTCGAGATGTTAAACGTCACACTCTTGGCTAGGGTAAATCTGATAACAGACAAAGCTTTCTTGTCTAGAGCAGCCCATTCATCATCACTTATCTTTTCTGGTTTTTCCCTGTCAAGGCTTGATCCAAATCCTTCTGACACAGCAAATCCTCAATTTGGATCTTCCACCATCCAAAATCTTGTCCATCAAACTTCTCGACTTTGGTTTTTCCTCCATTGTCCCAGTCCTTCACAATCTGCCGGCTATGTTCTTCTGCGACAGCGCACTGTTGGCGGCACAAGGAGGCTGAAGGCGCAAGGCGGCAGCAGTAGTGGTGGTCAAATATGTGGTAGTGGTTAACCTTGCTCTGATACCAGTTGTTAGGGTTAGGGCGCACTCACACAAAACAACCTTAAAAACTAGAAGAGAACGAGAAGAACGACACAAATTTAACGTGGTTCAGCCAGTAGATGTTAATGACCAACATCTAATCCACAGGGGCAACTAGGGTTTTCTTTCTTATTGAGATGATGGATGATACAAGTCATAGTTTACAAGTACAGGAGTCAATATATATAGGCAAACAATTAGGGTAAAACACTTAATAAGGTTCTGGGCCTGACTGCCACCAAAGAAACAGGCCCTTATAGGCGCTGCCTTCACATTTAACTAGAGCAGGCTGCTGCTCTTTGTTTGTTTAACTCCCAAATCTGAATGGGTCGAAGCCTACAGCCCAACAGTTCTTATTGTGCTAGCAGACAGAAATCATTTAATTCATTATAATATATATGAGGAAATGAGGATGCAGTACTCAAGCACCAATGACTGGATATTGTCATTTGTCACTTATTCAGTATAATCTACGGAATATATTAGAGAAGTAGAGATCAACTACTACTTCAATTTCAATTGTTTTCCATAAATAACAGTCCACCCCTTTCGCCTTAAGTTTTTCAAAATTTTATTTTTCATTTCTTTGTTTTCAAAGAAACGATTTTGGATAAAGAAAGATCAGAACTTCAGCCAAATCGGTATAATTCTGCAAAAAGATAAATCAGCAAACTAGCACTTAATATAAATGAGCACTTTAGCAATTCTGCAAACGGTTCTGAGCATAATTACATAAGGACGGACAATCTACAACTCCGGCAAGTCGAGGAGTTCAGAAGTCTCCGAGAAGAAGGAGAGAACAGTTTCAGGAAAGCCTGTGGCGTCTTACCTGGCTGAGTAGTGCGGCAGCGGCGGACGGACGCAGAGGAAGCCGGACAGGGCGAGGTCGGCGGAAGAGCGGTGGCCCGGGGTAGGTCGCAAATAAAGTGAAGTATGTTGGAAGATGCGGAAGATCCGAGGCAGCTTGCCTTGGCAAGGGGGCGAAACTAGGGGTGGCAGGGTCCTGTGGAGAAATTGGGTTTTCTCTTTAGGGAACCCGGTTTATAATAATGGTTCGGAACGGGATTGTCCCGGTACGGAACTGGATGAGACACGGTTTATAATAACGGTTCAGAACGGAATGGAACAAGATGTTGTCATTTTGTTGTCTCATTTAAACTGGTATCGAGACAAAACGGGACGGTTCAGGACATTCCAAAAAATTATAGTGAAAAAAGTCCAATCCCAAAAATGAAGCAAAGTTATTTGAAAAAAAACTAGCGCAAAAAAACTCTATGACAAAAACATTGTAGCTAATCTAGAAATTTATGATAAAAACTGCAACCTACCAAATTAGTCGCAAGAAATAAAAGTTGCATTAAAAAAACTCTAACACAAAAAAACTTTAAATAAATCTGTAAACAAAAAAGTTAAAAGAATATTATAAGAGGTGAAGCCTTTGGCGGTAAAAATCAATTTCTTTTTTTGCAGATAGATGATAGCCATGGGCGGAGCTAGGGGTGGGGCAACCTAGACCCTGGCCCACCCCAAATTTTAAAAATTAAAAAATTTCGTTTAACTTATTTTCTAAAGATATTCTTTGTACTGGCTCAGTCCGGCCCAATGCCCTGACTCCGCCCCTGAATTGATAGCTCATAGTTCATTATAGGTAGTTTAGAATTTTTTTTTGCTACTTTGTTGTTAAAAAACTAGTATCTTAATAATCATTGGTATTTGGTTTGAGAAAAAAGGATATTTATTATTATTTGGATTACATAATGAGTTGTTAGTAGACCTCACTAACCTACTACAAAGTACAATTTTGGTTTCAGACAACGGGACGGAACGGTATATATTTTACTTGTCCTGGATCCATTTTGTTTTGAAACGGTTCGAGATTGGTACGGGACAAAAATAATGTGTCCCAAATATAACGGGATGATTTCGGAACGGAACCAGAACATTTCGGACCAGATCAACGACCCCGGATCTTTTGCCCATCCCTAACCGAAACGTTCAGCTTTCAAATGGTTGGACTTACTTGTTTGTTTTCAAGCTCGACTAGTACGGTACTAGTGCAAACGCAAAAACAATTGGTCAATATATATATACAGGGAAAACTACCAAATAAGCCATCGAACTTTCACAAAAAGTGCAAATAAGCCTTTTTATAGGAGGATCTGTCCAGCCTTCACCATTTGGGACGGTTTTCGATGGAATTTTTTGATGAAATTTTTTGAGCATCTTCTTCATCAAGGCTATTTTACTCATACCAAATTTTAGATAAAAATTCAATCGGCAAGACAGTCAAATAATTTTTTTTGAAGATAACTGCGCAGTTAGGCAGCGCTGTATATTTAAGAAAATCATTTGACTGCATTCTTGATTGAATTTTTATCTGAAATTTGGTATGAGTAAACTAGACTTAATGAAGAAGATGGTCACAAAAATCATCAAAAAATTCCACCGGAAATCGCCCCAAATGGCGCCAGCCGGACAAAGCCTCATGTAAAAGGGCTTATTTGCACTTTTTATGAAAGTTTGAGGGCTTATTTGATAGTTGTCCCTATATATTTATTCACTGTTTGATTAAATATTAAAACGGTTATTTTTTACAATTCTACACCATTTCAAAAATGGAGTACAATAAGACTGATAAGTGAATATTAAAAATTATAAATCCATACAACTAATATTCGAAGTAAAAGAAAGTTAAAGTAAAAAAAATCGACATCATCCATTACAATTTGCTATGTAAAATTAAACTTAATTGTTAGAGTTTTAAAAAAGTACTTTTAGTCTGTTTATCTTATATCTAAAAGGACTACATATGAGAGAGGATTTCACACTCTAGATATTTAGTCAGCTTATCTTATTTTTTACACTTAAAAGTAGTATGCATGATAGAGAACATTATCTCGTTCAATTATTAGCAAGTTTACCTTCTTATATCTAAAAACATTATGTATGAGAGAGAAACTCTCACTCAATTATTAGTCCATTTATCTTCTTATACGTAAAAGCACTACATGTGAGACAAAAAATTCTCCCGCTCAAATATTGGTCCGTTTAACTTATATATAAATGATGGAGTATATGGGTCTGAGCCCCAGGACCCACATACTCAGAAGAACAGAAAGCACAAGGCACTGAGTGGTGCCCTCGTCGGCCAAGGGACCCCCGTCGGCCGGAAAGGTACCAACTCAGAATATGGTCCTGAAGCCAAGGAACCCGGGTGTCCTCGTCGGCCGTGCCCTCGTCGGCCACGCCCTCGTCGGCCACGAAGACCTCACAGAACCAGATTTCATACTTAATCATTCTTATCACTTTGTATCTCGGCCCAATAGCGGTCCAGTTGTAAATGGGCCTCCCAAGCCCAAGGCTTGGGAGCCCAGCCCGTATTTTCTCTATAAATACTCCCCTTGGGAGTAGTTGTAGGAGTTACAAAATCATTCTATTGAAGCATATTATTTCACTTCTCTCTCTAGCTCTCACTTCTCTCTAGATATATACTCTATCAATAAAAGCACTACATATGAGAGAGAAATTCTCGTGCTCAATTATTAGTCCGCTTATTTTATACCTATAACCACTACATATGAGAGACGAAATTCACCCGTTCAATTATTAGTATGTTTATCTTATACCTAAAATCACTACACGTGTAACAGAAAATGCCCCCGCTCAATTATTGGTCCGCTCATTTAGTGTACCTAAAAACACTACATTTGAGATAATTGCTAAAGTGTGTCATCTTATTAAATGATAATAAGTGTCTATATACAACACACTTCAACTACTAGCTGAGTGGCGGTTCGTCTATCTCAATGCTACGAGCTAAGATAATTGCTACTTGCTAGAGAAAATAAGTTGTCAACCCTTTATAATGATATAAATGCTACTCTTTATCCTACCAAGGGGTAGATGGTGTTGGTGAGGTGGAGGATTGTGAGTAGCTAGCTTCCCAACCACGAAATCTGCTGCATTAAATGCGCTTCCCGCAAATATCTTGGTTTTCCGTCAAGGGCATCGGGCAAGCGCCCCTTGAGCTTAGTCCCTAGACTATGTTGTCAGCAAGGGCCGGGATCCGCGTGGCTTTTGTAGGTTGCCTGGCTGAAGGCTTTGGAGTGCCGCCTGGCCCTGGTTGGACAAAGCCAGTGAGACCGTGCGTCTCGATGGATACGACGATCATCCTTCGGGTACCTTGATGGACAATACCCAGATTGGGTCATGGTGGTGTAACTGTTTAAGGGGTAATGAGCCGATCCACAATCAGACCCATTAACCCAACACTCAGAATGATTTTTCTTACATAATCATTATTTCCATTTGTTTCGTACCGAACCAAACTAATTTATCAGCATACTTCATATTATACTTCCTTCGTCCCTCAGTTATCTTTCAAATTTTCTTTTTCACCTATTACATTCTTAAATTAAATATTTCTCTCCCTTACACAACTTTTCAATGAACAATTTTTTTTTGGAAAAAATTTAGGGAGAAGGCGTAGCCCACTTCATTGAAATCCAGCTAAGATTGTTAATTTAAACTCAGCCCAAAATCCCAAATCATATCTTCCGCATTGGTACTCATAAACTTTGTGACCCACTCACGGGCCACTGCAGCTACCGCGCCGGCGCCCGCGCCCTGACCGCCTGACCGGCTTCCTCTGTATCCGTCCGCCGCCGCCGCACTACTCAGCCAGGTCAGACGCCACATACTTTCTCGAAGTTGTTCTCTCCTTCTTCTTGTAGACTTCTGAACTTGTCGACTTGCCGGAGTTGTAGCTGGTCCATCTTTATGTAATTATTATGCTCAGAAGTCAGTACTGTTTGCAGAATGGCTAAAGTGCTGATTTATCTTAAGTGCTAGTTTGCTGATTTATCTTTTTGCAGAATTATGCCGATTCAACTGAAGTTCTAAACTTACTTTATCTAAAATCGTTTTTTGAAAAGAAAAAAAATGCAAAATGAAAATCTCACAAATTTAAGGAAAAAGGGGTGGACTGTATTTTTACCGAGAACAATTGAAGTGGACGGTAAATGGATCTTCTTTTTATAGATACTTGTATATTTTAACTTGAACTAAGTCTAATTACACAATATTAATAATGAAAGGGTTTTAAAAGGATATGTGTCCTCATGAAATCTAACATGATGGCTAACATAGACTCGACTTGTGATAGGATCCAAATAACGATAATCTTTATAACCAGATGCATAGTCAAGAAAAACACACTGAACTGAACGAGGTGATAATTTATTAGCTGAGGTGGCCGAAAAAATCGGATAACATCATAACAGACACAACCAAATACTCGCATAAAGGAGTAATCCGGAACACGGTTAAAAAGTTTTTGGTACGGATAAAAGCCATTTAAGGTAGGAGAGGGTAATCTATTAATAATATACGCAACATTGAATATGGCATCGACCCAATAGTGACTCGGAACCGAAGATTCAAGAAGCATGGTCCGAGTTAACTCAAGTAAATGACGATGCTTACGTTCAGCAACCTCATTTTGTTGAGGTGTTTCAGGACAAGATTTTTGAAAATAAATGCCATTAGCAGGAAAAAATTGCTGCATATTATTATTAACAAATTCACCTCCCTCATCACTTTGAAAATTTTTAATTTTCTGATTAAAAAGATTTTAATTTTTAAAGTGCATAAAAACTTCACTTTTGTGACACATGGGATATATCCAAGTATAACGAGAAAAATCATCAATGAAACACACATAATAGTTGAATCCCAAATTTGAATACACAGGTGACTGCCACACATCAGAATGAATAATTTCCAAAGGAAAAACAGAATTATGACTAGCATCCATAAAAGGCAAACGTTGTGATTTTCCTAAACGACAAGCCACACACTCATGAGTAAAGGGAGTATGACTACATAAAAATTGTTTTCTCTTAAGAAATTGTAAAATACTATCACCACAGTGACCTAATCTACGGTGCCACACAGGGCCAGAAGCTAAAACGGAAGCAAAAACTAATGGTGAGGATGACGGCAGATGGAGAGGATAAAGTGGCCCACTACTGGTAGCTCGCAGAAGTATTGCC